GAGGAGGAGGAGGAGGAGGCGGGAGGAGGAGGAGGAGGCAGCGCCGCTTCCTCCCCGCCTGCCCCGCGCCTGTCGCACATTTTGCCTGTCATTGAGGTCGCAAAGAGGCGCTTTGCGGCTCACACGTGACCAGCCGCCTGTCAAACCCGCGGGGGGGGGGAGCGGGGCGCGCGAGCACGCGCATATCCGGCCGCGCCGCGCGCGCCGCCGCTCCCCCCCCCGCTCCCCCCCGCGGCCGCGCGCGCTGCGGCCCAACGGGGCGCGGGCCCCGAGCCGGCGCCGCCGGCGGAGCCGCCTCAGCCTCGGGACCGGCACCGGGGCGCAGCGGCCTCGGGGGCGGCGGCGGGGACCCCGCTGCCCCCCCCGCACCCCCTGCTGCTCCCCCCGCCTCCCCCCGGCGCCGCCGCTGCCGCCGAGGGGCCCGGGGCGCTCGGCCCCTCTGCCAGGATCCCCCGCAACCGGCGGGGAGCGGGAGGAGGCGGGGGGACCAGTGTCGGGGTCCCACTCTCCAGGGCGGGCCACAGTGTTTCCCTGGTTTGAAAAAATAAAATAATCATAATAATAATAATAATAATAACAATAATAAAGCATAGTTTTCCCGCTCCCGTGAAGGCAGAGACGGGGAGGGGGGAGCCCCTCTGCCCCGAAAGCAGCGGGGACGGAGACGCTCCGTTAAACCGGGGGAGCCGGGGGAGGCTCGAGGCGCTCGGGACGGGGCTTCGCGGGCGGAAAAACCTTCACTTCTTTTTTTTTTTTTTTTTCCTTCACGGACCCCCCCGCGCCGCTGCGAGCGCGCCCAGCCCAGGGCCCGTGAGCCCAACACCGGGCCGGGCACCTGCTGGTGGCGGCGCCGAGCGGGCCCCGGTAAGCTGCAAACGCCCCCGCGTTGCTGGAGCGGCGCCAGGAGGCTGCGGAGCGAGTCCCGCGCGTGGGGTGGGAGCCAAACGGCTCCCGGCACGAAGGGCAACGCGGGTTGTGCCGTCAAGGTGAGGCACGGAGTGCTCGGGTCTGTGAGAGCCCTGGGTCACGCTGCAATATGTAGATTGGATCAAAATATATATATGTATGTATCTGAAGCAATTGATACATGACGTGCAGGAAAGGTGAAAAGTTAACGCGCCCCGCGTGGCAGGAAGTTCACGCTGAAGTCACAGCGCGAGGTGCTGCGGCCCTTTCGGATCCAGCCCCCGGGCCCTTTCCTGCCTCCCGCGAGCCTCCGGGATGCGCAGGGCAGGGACGCGCTGGCCCGCGGGCTCCGCGCGACGCCCGCAGCGGCTCCTCGAGCGGCTGCTCGTGGGGATCCCGACTCAGGCGGCACTTTCCCTTCCCGAGGGGCATCTTTACGGCCGCCCAGGGGGAATTACTAAAATTATGGTGCTCCTTTCGGCACGTAGTTTTGAAGGGCTTTAGAAACCAGTATGATGAGGCACGTTTGATGGCGTTTTCCGGCCGGGCAATTTCACTTGCAGAAGGCCTGCAGCATCCCAGCTACACTTGAGTTCATGGGGTCTTTTTTTTTGCCGTGTGACATGGTTAACGGAAGATGGATGCTCCCCTTTTTAACTGCAAAACAAGCAAACGTCGTAGGACAGCGTTGCAAGGCTCGTAGGTCTAATTCTGCACTCAACCAGTGACAGGTAGCACCGCCAAAACATGTAGATCTTAGGCACAGATAAGTCACGAAATAGGTCATTTAAAAGATGACTGAATTAATATTGTAAGTTTTGCATATTAATTCATTCTTCACGCAAAACCAGTTATATTTAAATATATATATTTATGTATACTTACATTTCTAGAATTAACTTCGAGGGAAGTTATAAATGGTATTTTCTATTTAGGGAATTTCAACCACATTGCTTGTAACCAGGAATTATCGTCATAAGGCCCTTAAAGTTCGTTGCTCTATTTTCCTTTCTCTTATTTTCTCTTATTTTATTTTCTCTTCTTTTCCTTTCCTTTCTTTCCCTGCGTGTGCTGGGCACCCGGTGCTGTGGGCACAGTTGCCCTCGCTGCTGCTCTTGTCTCTCTGCTTCTGCCCGTGGCTTTTCCACGAGCGAGGGGCCGGAGGGCAGCCCGGGGGAAGCAGCGGAGCTGAGGGCAGGCAGAGACACGGGCCGCGTCGCCGCCGCTCCCCGCGGGGCTGGTCGCCTTCCCCGAGGCCCTCGCTCGCCACGCACCTCTGCCCCGGTGGGGCTCGCAGGGCCGGAGCAGGGCCGGGTTCCTCCCGAGCCGCTGTCGCTGTCGGGCAGGTTCCCTCCCCGAAGTGGCCCGCGCGTGTTTACATTCAAACGCCCTCCCGCGCGGGACAGCCCCGGTGACAGCTCATGTGCGCAGCGCGGGCAGCCGCGACACCGCGGCCGCACAGCAGCTCCTCGCCCGGGCCCTTAACCACTGCCCGATGCAGCTTTTCATTTATTTACGTATTTGTTTATTCATTTATTTATTGCCCCCCCCCCCCCCAGTAACCTAAAGCAATGCAGCAAGGAAAGCAGCAGGGAGGAGAGCAGCAGGGAAAGCAGCCAGGGGTGCCAGTGAGAAAGGGAATAAACGCTCCATACTGTACCGTCGTTGCTCCTCTTCCCTTCGGAGCGGGGAGCCCCCACGTCCTCCGTGGCGCTATGTGCCCTTTTCTTTCCCTCTCCCTCTCAAAATGGCCCTTTCCAATTAGCCCCGGAGCACCAGAAACACGGACCGCGAAGATTCCTGCTCGGCCTTCCCGCCTCTCCCGCTTCCCAGGACTTGACATTGGCCCGGCAGCCGTGACCTTGTCCCCCCCCCCCC